ATTACTACTGTAGATGCTGGCAAATTATTCTATGGACGGCAATCAACAGAATCATATGGAAAGCCAAAATCTATTGCTATTAAAATAAATTTTGCAGGTAGCACAAAGCCTGTTGTAAATGTATCTTATGATTTATTTAAAAAAAAAAAATCTCTTGTCAAAGAAGACCTGAAAAGAAGCCCCTGAGGTTAGTCAAAAAGTATGAAAACAACTTAAAAAGAATGAAAACCTGATATTTTTCAAATCTTTCTAAACACAGAAATGCTACCTGAAGTCTGCAATGTTTGCAAATGAATAAAATACAAAAGAGTTTTTCAAAGAAAGCTATAACCAAAAAGCTATGTAATTTTTTTGAACGTGTTTTAATCTACATAGCAACTCTTCTTTATGGAGAATTATCAAAAATTTGGCTGAATTAAGAGTGTCAGAATAGACTAGTGACCAATCTGACAAAATCAGCAGTAACATAAATTTCCAGGGCCAGATGGTGAAACAGCATTTATAAAATAAGCAATTACCTCAAGTAATACTTTTTATTTATCCTGGAAGACAAAGGGAGAAGCTCTGCTAAGAAATCTGTGAGGTGTGCTGTGGCAGCAGCCATGGAGTGTCAGCTCTCAGAAATGAAGAAGTGGGTGGCAACAATGAGATGTACATGGTGGATTCAAACAAAATACTGCCTTTTGATGCTGTAAAATGTGTAAATTCTTGCTGCAAAACATAGATGCAGAAAGGTTGCATGTGGCCAACAGACAAATTAATGGAAATAAAACAGTTGGCATGGACTGTTACAAACAAGAAGCCTGCAACTATAAAACTGAGATTAGGTTGATGTCCCAAGTAGTTTTTCTCAGTTCAAGCAGGATGATACAAATTTCTCAATTCAAGCAGGATGATATCAGCAGAAGCAGTAAATTGCAGGGACAAGCTAACAAAGCCTTGCTTGTGCCTTGATTAGGCCTAACAACATATACAAACTGTAAACTTTTAAAGCTTTCACTTACTTTTCTTAGGTTAGTTAAAAGACAACTTGAGAGTTAAAATACCTGCAGACTTTGACTGTGAGAAAATCTGACCTGTAGATGCATTTTGGGCCCCATTTTTTTAGAAGTCTTTTGGGGAACAGTTTTTTTTTCTGGCACAGTTACCTGTAGTTAGAAGGGACAAACTGCACATTCCAGTACTTGTTAACCACTTCAAGCTAGACTATGTTTTGTGAATAGTCTACAGTGGCTGAGCACTTTTAGCACACTATGCAGGCTAATTATCAAGGTATCCAGGGTGCCAAATGAACATAAAGCTAATATTTAATATTACACCTTCCAGTAATTGCAATTATGCAATTTAGTCCATTTGTAATGAAGGAAAATATTGAAAATAATAGGCATTTTCCCTTTCATTTTCTCACTAAGGAGAATTCCTGACTTTCTTTTGCATAAAAATAGTGCATTTTAGAGTGACTACACAGAAAAACTACATAGATAGATATTAAATGTTTTCTCCCAGTAGTAATTTTCTCAAGCATTACCTTGAATTTCTTTATAAAACCTTGAGGTTTAAAATCACCCTGAAGCTTTCTTTTATAGAACCCTTAAATGCTTTGAATTGTATCACAATTGGGTGGAAGTAGTTCTATCTCTGCAATCTCAATAAAAAGAAAGAAAAAATACACAAAGTAAAATAAAGGTCAGATAAGAATGTCAAAACCAATTACACAATTTCTGTAACTTGTTATTTAGTCAGAAATATTTTTCACTAAGTATTATTTGTATTATGCCCTGTCTTTTTCAGTTCTTTAGAAGACCTACAATTCTGAACTTAGTGAAATCTCAATACAGAATATAAATGGCCATTATTTGTAATTGCTACATACTTGTGCAGTCACTATTCAAAAGCTCTTTTGTCAGCTTTTTCCTGTTGTATTTGTCTGCAAATGGAGTTCCTGGAGAAGTTCAGTTCTTTAGGCCAGTCAAGCAGTAATACAACAACGCCTCTGTCACTCTCTCCGTACAGACTTGGACCTTTACTTCCTCTCCTGATCTTTTGATTGGCAGATTTTAAAACTAGAGCAGATCATTACTGTTCTGATTTCACTTCCTGTGATGTTAAATGATTATGAAATGGTATGCAGAAAGGCAAGTAACTTTTGAGTAGAACTTGCAGAAGCCTTTTGGAGGGTATTTCAATCATGATATAGAATTATAACATAACATTATAACACCATAACATTATAACAGGCTTCCAGTACTTAGCCTGATCATTAAAAAAAAAAAAAAGTAGTGTCTTCACCTTTTGAATTACCCTTTTGGGTTTTTTTGGCTTCTTATGCCTTTGTGTCTTGGAAACCACACTAGTTTTTAAACAAGTTACTTTGATTTGAAGCTACCTGTATGATCATGACCTTCAAATTTTTTTCCGAATACATGAGTTCTCTTGTTTCAGCATGTTGCTTAAAGAAGGACTTATCACCTCAAATCATAATTACTCTCTTCAAACATCTTTTTTTTTGTGTTGGCATTGGGATTCTTAAAGGGCATATTATTTCCATAATAGCCTTCCCAGTAATGCATACCCTAATCATTTACCTACAATTCTTGTTATATTTGCTGGCTTTGGGCTAAGAGGATATGTAGCCTCTAGGACCAAATCTGGGAAGCTGGTTTCCTAATGTGACTTTCTGTCTTTCTTCCTATCCTTTTTGAAGCTGACACTGTGATGCAGTCTTGCTGGCAAGGTCTATATATTTTTGTAACAAGTGACATTTAGTCTTTAACTCCTGAGCCTCCTTAGGAATTCTGAAGAGTTTTGAGCTTTGGGTTTATTTGATTTTTCTTTTGGATCTTTCTGGAAATGCATGCTGTTTATCAGCTATTAAATTATTACCCGGTAATGAAAAATTATTATAATTCAAAAAGTTTTTCTCCTTATCTTCATTTAAAACAAATGGGTGTGAGGGTTTTTTTGGGGGGGGAGTGTTTTGTTGGATTTTGCTTTTGTTTCTTTTTGTGGTAGTGGTTTTGTTTTGGTTTTTTTCAGAAATTAAGGAATAAAGCCCTCTTAATTATTTAATAAAATTCCTAATGGCCAATTCAGTCACAATTCTAGTTGGCAAGAAGAAAAGTTTTTTGCCACTCTTTTCTTATTTGTTACTCTCCATCGAGCAGACTGAAAAATCTTTAGCTTGCTTGTGAGATTGTTGTCATTGAGAGTAGTGACTTCTAGTAAGCATTAGATATTTTGTACTTAAGAATTTATTTATTGCATATACCCACCTTGCTCTTCTTTCCCAGGAAGTGAAATTTTCTTCCTAAGCCCAGCTGTGCAGTAAGTAGAAGCTTCTTGATGCATTAACTTGGGGAACGCCCCACCTAGTGGATGATCGTAATCTCATTTCTCATTGCTTCAGTTCGGACAGACTTAAGGTTATGTTGGATTACCTTAAATATTACCCGTGTTTACTGTCAGCTCGGGAAATTGATTAAATAGCTGGATTTTCTTTCCATTTACTTGTGGGGTGGCAGTGGTGGTGTATGGAAAGCTGGGAGAGGGGAAAGGTAAAAGGGGGATTTACATGAGAGAAAGTTTCAAGTTGAAAAAGGTATCCACATTCCCTGTAAATGTTTTAACACAGAAATTAGTTACAAGCTATGGTGCTTAAAATGGCCATCTGCAAAACTAGTTTTCCTGCATTTCAGAGGAAAGGAAGTACCTTAACAGAGTAACTTTTTGTTTTGGGGAAAAAAAGATCTTACTTCAGTTTGGGACTGGCCTTTCTCTTGTACAAGAAAAGATGCAGTCAACTTCATTAAAACAGACTAATAAAATGGTCTTGAAGCCTGTCTGTTTGCATCTCAGACACTTGTGCTTTTAAGACATATTAGGGCATATGAGTTCTATCCCACTGTGATCAGAAATTATTAATTGGAAAATGTGGGATGAGGTAGTGTGTTGCTCTGCCCTTGTTCCTCTATCCTGTACTGCTTGCTTCCAGCCTTGTGTGGATGAAGAAAATTTGTCAAAAACAAATTTGTTTCTTCCCTTAAAATTAAGCTACTCATCCTTCTGTCCCACTTTTGGAGCTGGTATTCAAGTTGTAGATATGAAATCATATTCAAATAGGCTTTCTTGTTCTCCTGTATTATAAGAAATAGTGAATTCTTATACATTTGTTACTGGAAGAAATTATTCTGTTCAGAAGTTATTCTGCTTGGAAGTACCTTCTGACATAAGAGATGTCTCCACACTACACGGCATTATTTATTATGGTATTCTAACATGGCTTGGTCTGTGTGGTGTTAGTCAGTAACTTCTGCAGTGTGGTTTTTAACTTCAGGTCTTAGAGGAGTGATTACTTTGTTTCTATAATAGTAATTTTGTGGAACAGACAGAGGTGATGTCACTTGTTGCAGATCCTATCAACTACGAGGATGTGGGCTTTGAGAGAAGCAGAGGTAGAAAACATGAAGTATTTTTTAAAACTCTTTCATAAGTGTCTTCAGTGACAAGTGGTATTATGCTGTGTTTTTTCTGCTCCTTTAAGCTTGATAGCACTCATAAAATATTGCTATATAGGAAAAAAAAGGTTTTTTCAAATAAATATTTTGTTTCTTTGTCTCCCTGCTAAGAGGAATGTCACTTCAGTCTCCATTCCATCAAATCTCTAGCATGCTTCTAACTTAAACAATACTTGCACAAACACAGGGTTCTCAGTTTTATATTTAATTATAGCCTGGTATAATACTTGTAGTACTGGTTATTGATGAGGGGGAAAAAAGAGTTCTAATTGGACCCCACAAGATTTCTTTTTGTTTGCAGCAAGTATATGCCCCAAAGCAGGACTGAAGCTGATTTTGTTCATCATGTTTAAATTAAACCACCTTTCCAGTAAACTGTTACCTTAAATTTGAAAATAGTGTAAGCTTCTATGATCTTGAAGTTTTTGTGGCAGGAAGGAAAGAATTGGTAACCTATTTAATGTCTTTTTTTTAAACTTCATGCAGGCACACATCTATTCTTTGGGTGCAACACTGAAAGCAGCAATAGAATATATTGTAGAACCTGAGACAGAATCAGAATTCGGACAAGATCTGCACACTCTGCTGGAACAAATGCAAGAAGACAATCCTGAAAATAGGCCAGATATTGAGGTAAAACAGCTCTACATAATTTTTTGTTTTAAAGAAGGTGATACTAATATTTCTGTATGTATGCTTGTTTATCTCATTAGTCTTTGTAATTATCAAGTTAGTCTTGATAAGCAGTATGCTCAAGTTTTGCAAGAAAGCCAAGGTCTTCCCCTACTCTGCAGAAATTCATCCTTTTTCCCACTCTAATGGATATACAACCTGAAAAGTAGATGTAGATGTTCGTCAGTGCTTGGATTTTTAAGAAGATTGTGTGAATACACTGGTGGATCTAAATTTTCTCATTAACTGTTTTCTTCCCATTTAATATTTGGTTTACAGAGAGGCAAAGTGTCATTTGAAATAAAAGCACAGGCATTATGCTGTGAAATCTGTATGATAATGGGATTGCATTTAAGAAGGGGATGTATGGATCCTGCCCCACGAAGTCTCTGTTCTTTGGCATGTTCAAAGCAGTGTTGTTCAAAGAATTACTACTAACTAGTTTTTCTGTAATTACATAAAGGCTTAGTTTCTCTATTGGATTTTGTATTTTATTCCATTTAGCCTCTTATTTACCTTTAGCTTTTAGAAAGAATTTGAAACTATATAGGATAATTGCTGAAGTCTTAAAAGAATTTACATTCTAAATGTTGGTTACCTGATAGAGTTATTTGACATTAATGTGCAAAAGTTTAGCTTTAATGTTTTTGCAGACTGTGAGAATGTAGGCAGAGAATAACAGATGTGCAATGTGACTTTTCTTGGATTCAGTTCTTCTACTTCAAAATAGTGCTATCTACTTTATCTACTTTTTTTTGGGGGTGGGGGGGGTTGGGGCAGTGGAGTGGGGAGAGCATGGGTGTTTCATTTTCCTGAACTGATAGTGTGTATTCTAAATGGTATAGCACCTATGATCAGTACTTTGCAGAAGGAGTACTGCAACAGAAGAATCAACAGATTAATTTTTAGAAAGTAAAAAATATTGGCTTCTTGACTGATGACTGCCCAGGCAGGAGACCATACCTAATATGGAGCCTGCTTGGTCAGCTGCTCTGTTTCTATTCCTTTACTGTTGTCAGAGGAGGGATTGTATAGTACTCTCTCATCTCCAAGTGGTCTGTAGATCCTGAAAGCTGTTGCTCACTATTTAAATAATCCAAAAAATAATTTGTCTTGTGTAATATATAAGGGTCACTTGGTGAGTATGTTCTTCCTGTTCCTTTTCCACTGGACACTTTCTTGGGTGAACAGAGTTTTGGGAGCTATTTGGAGGGAAAGCCCCTAGACTTTTCTAGGTATTTGTTAGACTTCAACACAGCTGGATACCTGTCTCCCTTTTTCCTGTCTTTCCTCAATCCCATATGTGAACCAACAGGGCCAATTTCTTCCTTCTATGCACAACAGCAGAGGAGCAGTTGAGTGGGAACTGCTGAATGCAGAAGTGAGAGCATCTCCTAAGAGTTGTATGAGGTCTCACCAGTGTTTATCTGGGAATAGTTACTGAGGAAATGGTGGGATGTGTTTGGAAAGGCAGCTCTCTTCTACATCCTGCCCAAAGGGGCAGGTTTTTAAATGTGTGAATATCTGTAGTTAATTATATGTGAGACCAATGCTACTGCCATCAAATGGTGCCCAGACTGCAGATTGTGTTATTATTGTGTTATTATGAAGTAGTGTTACTTTTTGTAACAGTAATGATAATGATTGCTTTTTCTAACTGGGAATACTGCTTTTTAGATATTTGTATTTTGCAGTTTTTAAAAGATTCAGGGTTTAATTTTAATGTAATTTCAGTAATAAAAACATTCATCATCCTGCCTGTGTCACTGAATTCAAGCGAAGCATTGGCTGTTGAAAAAAGTAATCAGCACTCTAGCTTTTTTGCATTTTTACTATGTTATTCATAAAGGTTAACATTTAAGATAATTTTTATCAGTGTTCTTGATGTTCTAACTGTAGGCTAAAACTTGAATTTTATTAAATGACTTCATAATGCCCATGGTAAAAACAAGAAATTAATTCAACCACATAATAGAAACATGCAGTATAAAGAATTGGAGAAGAAAGACCTCCAATGTAGCATCATACAAATTCAGATGTACTGTGGGAGTTAACATCATTCATGTTAGTCGAAATTCACAAATCTATTCATTATTAAATAAGTATTTAACATTCATTTCCTCTAGAGCATTTTGTCATTATGTGAAGAAAAAATGAAGATTGCTTCATCAAGTAATATTTGTCGAAACTTGTCTGCTGTTGGAAGAAGAGTTCTCTCAATTGAATCATTTGGTGCTTCTCAAGGTAACCAGAAAATGTATTTAGTCTAAAACTTTAGATTGCCTGACATATCTAATGATTTTTCAAAGACTGCGTTTGTGTGATCTTCTGTTATAGATTCCTTTCTAGATTACAACAAATCATTATTAAATATTTGTAGATCAGTGATGGGGAAACAGGGACACGTTAATATTAATTAACATACTATGTTTGAAGTGTCCCTTACGATTCAAAGTGGTTCAGATTTGTTCAGAAATTGAGAATCTGTGTAACATACTAAAGATATGTAACAGCAGTGGCAGAACAAGCAATATAAAGATTTACAAGGGGAGATTCAGAGGTTTAGTACACATTTAATATAAGCATCTGTTTTTGTATCTAGATGTCTGTGATAACATGTGGAAAGGAAGAATGTGTCAGAGGAATTCAGGATCTAAATTATATTCAAATGAGAAAAACAACATTGCAGGTGATTCGTCTGCAATGGAAGAGGTGACAACTGCCTGTCATAACAACTCTTCTGTAGTTACCATGGTGACTGGCAGAGAAAGTGGTTTAAAGGAAATGCAAATTGATCCGGATAATGAGAAAACTCAACATTCTCAACTTGAAACTCAAACTGAAAAGAGCAAAGAAGAGGACAAACACGCAGTGTATACTGACAGTTTTGCTAGTGTTGCTTTGGATATAAAATCATGTGTTATTGACCTGGAGAGAGATTGCCTTTTTAAGAAAGGTTCTTTGAGAAAAATGAAAACCTTTCCAAAGCTACCACTTGAACTTGCAGATACAAATAACTTTTTTACTTCTGTAATCAACAGTGGACCACTAGATAGGAAAAATCACTTCATAACACAAGAGTCACTACCTCCAGACAATAATAATGAGGTTGCTTTTTCAAAGGGAAATCTCAATTCATTTGCTGTCAGTAGTCCACCAGAAATAGAATCAAAGAATCACCAATCTGATGATCATCATTTAGAGGCACCATGTGTATGCACACAAGTGTCTGGCCTGAATCTAGAAGAACATATGTCACTTATCAATGGTAAAAAGATAGGTTTTTCTTCATCTGATCACAAAGAAGACTCTTCTGGTGCTACCTCTGAAGGGCTAAAACCAGCTGATATGCTAAAAGGCCCAAATCAGTCCATTGCTAGAGCAAAAATGCCAGACAACTACATGGTGTTGGAAGTCTGTTCTGAAACTTTTCAAGGGTCAAATGAAAATTATGTACCACATTTTAACACGATGGATTCAGTGTTAACAACAAAACCCAGTGGGAACAGACATGGATCAAACCTAATTGGGCCACCAGAATTAAGCAACGGTGTGATGAGTGCAAACAATAATGAAGATAATCTTTGTGGAGGCAGAGGTTCAGAAATCAAAAGTAACGAGCAGGTAGTAAAAATAAAGTCTTCATTATATAGTTGCTGTAGTCACTTATGTGGAGATGAGATGACTTAAATACTGTGTGATTTCTTTCCCCCTTCTTCCCTTTAGCATCCCAGAAAATGGAATTTTGCTAGTCTGCACACTTTAAGAGTTAATATTGGAAACATGGTAATCCTTTTTTCTTCTTAAATTAAAAATTAAAGTGCTACAGTGAAGTTTTGCTGTTGCAAAATTGACTTCCATTTTAATTTTTAAATTTTTTTACAAATGGAGTCTACTCGCTAGTGTGTTAGAGCAGCATTCCTTAATAACTGATTGCATTTGTAAAAGAACAACCAAAGCATACATGTTTATGTTACTGTCGATGCATAAATTCCACTAGCAAGCAGTGAGCCTCCCAGGTGCTTATGAAAATTGCAGAATTCCTGACTGTAAACCTGAGCTCACTGCAATCAGTGACAATATCCCATCAGCTTCAGGAGGCTAGAGTCCACATTATTTTTAATCTTCCATGTACATTTAAGTTTTTGGAAATTGTACATTTGCTATATTTGTTCTGTGTTCTTAAATTGTCGTCTCTGTTTGTTATGTATGTTTCACTATAGAATTTAAATATGTGCACAGTATGATGGATATGTTGTCTCATGCATTAAGTCTTTATCAATAGCCAAATACCAGAGGGAGAATCTGCCAGAGTTTGTTGATAGATAATTGTAATACGGTCTCTTATTTGCTCAAATTGCATCTCAGGGTGGACAAGTTTGGTCTCTGACTAGATGGTTTTCTTTTGTGCCACACTCAGAAGTGTAAACAATCCCCGTGGTTGGAGAGCTGCTGGCTAAAACTGCAGGATTGTTTATCCTTCTCCAGCTTGGTTACAGCAGGATAAAAATGAGCAGCACAAACTTCACACATTTTGTTTCCAGAAATTATTCTTAGGTGCGGACGTTGGGTTTTTTCCTTGCGTGTTTACTGGCATATCAGCCTTGCTCTCCTTGCCTACCAGCCCATGTTCCAGCCATCCCATACAGCGGCACTTAGGGTTATATTCTGTCTCTGTCTGTCCTGCTTTTCACCTTGGCCAAGCACCTGCTTTGAAACACTCACCTAGAATTATCAGGTGCGTAAAGAGCCTTTGGTTCATCATAGGTAAAAGACTAGAGCAAACTGAAGAATCTGTCCTTTTTTCCCTTTTCTGTCTCTTCTCCCTCAACAGGTGTGCTTATTAAATTCATAGTTCAGGAGGATAGTAAATGTGGATAAGTACCATGTGGCATGTTTTTGCCCTCTGAGGGGCTTATTCACTGTATGCATATTGAATCCTTTATTTAGTTTTTAAACCCTGCAAATGTATTCTTCAGACTCTGAGAAATAATCCCTTTATTGTACACACATCCTTTTTTTTTTCTATTTCTGCCATCACTTATGAACATAAGTTGAGTGTAGTGATAGGGATTCTTTTTTAAGGAGCAAAAGATATTGAAATAAGACCTATATTCTGTCCTTACCAGATTACCAGGGCAAAAGTTTAAGTCTGGATGCATGAAGGTAGTTTTAGGAAAATAATCTTCCCCAGAATGATAGTTTAACAAAATTCTTCCATTAAATTAAAAGCTGTAGCAAATCTTATTTGTTTTTTTGCAGCAGTGCTTGAGACTGACACACAGAAAAGTAAACCAAAATACATTCTCAAGTTATTCTGCCATTCTTTTTAAGTCTTCTTTTTCTTTAAATATTTCATCATCAATTTAAATAAAGTGTCCTTTCGGCCTGAACAAAATTTCATTCTTGCAGGCAAGTAAGCTCTTATTAACAGTGAGGTTATCCTGCTCGCACAGATCTCACAGAGCAATCACTGTGAATTAAAGAAGGTAACTCTTATTCCAGATACTCTAATAAGAAGTGTTGTAATACATAGCATCTGAAATGAAGACAGCAGGGTAGTGGTTCTTTGTTATATCAGAGGTTTATAGCTGTCTGTTCAATAGAAGAAATGCTTGATAGACTCACACTCTATATTCTCTTTTTTAGTAAATGATTCCAGCAGATGTTCAGGTCCTGCCACAGAAAAATGTGTGATTTAGAAAAATCTTTTTCGTCTTAAACAAATAAAGTAAACATAGTAAAAATCTTCATTAATTATTTAACTGCTGTAGAGAGGGAAAAAAAAAAAACCTTTAAGTATATTAACACCTAGGCTTCTGAAATGGCTTCCTGAAATGCTGAATGTCTAGCCTCATAATCCTTTTTCTGAAGAAAAGTCATTCATAGTTAGGAGTTGTTGAACTGTATAGCAGACTTTATTGTGAGTCTTCTTAGGGAAATGCAGTGGGTTAATGTTTTCAACTTCTTTTTTCCTTTTAGAAAAGAGATTTTATTCCTCAGGCTTCCAAAATAGAGCAATTTTTGCCTGTGTGTTATCTCCTGACAACTGAAAAAAAAAAAAAAATTAACACTGTGCTATTCCTTACATGACAAAAGTACAACTGCTGTCTCTCTCTCAAGTTCCCAATTAGCCAGAATTTTACCAAATACCGTTTTGTTTTTTTTTTTAAAGAAAGCCTAAGTTTGTTCATTTACTGCAAAAGCACAAATGTGAATCCCCAGCTAATGTGATCTCTGCCTTTTGGGGTAAATAGAAAACACCTCAGAGGATTTGCAGTGCTGCCATTTTCTGAGTTCTCTATAACAAATTGGCGTGATTGCAGCAAGTAGAGCTTTTAGAATGGTATCTCCAGCATTCCTTTCATGTTGTTTAGAGAAGGTGCAATACCAGCCCCATCCGGTTGAAGATCAACCTTGTCTACTCTGGAGAACAGACAGTTTTTCTTGCCTGTCAGTACTTCTCCAGTGGACAATATTTTTCTAATACTCATACACTGCTTCTTATTGTTGTGTGCTTTACTGCTAGTAAGCATTACTAAAAATACTTGCTTGCTTTTGTCTGGCTACTGCAATGTATCTTGTGAGGGTTTTCCTAGTAATTTTTATATTTTTGCATGCCATAAATAAATATTTTTCACTTCAAGTTTGAGTGGGGATCTTTTATTTCTCTAACCAGTTTCATTCCAATCAGGTATGTCTCATCTCTAATCCTTTTAAATGTTTCTCTGTGATTTAAATGCTATGGTCTTTACTTGGGAAGGGTTAATGGAAACCTGGCAAATGCAAGTTTGTTTTCTGTTGGTCATTCATACCCTGTCAAGCATGAGAGAAGTGAAAAGCCATGTAGCTAGAGGCTGACACTTTAACAGTGGGGAAATAACATGAAGGAAAGAAAAGTTGTCAGTTCCCAGAATAATACTTGCTAAGAAAAGAATGATGAAAATCTTGCTTTGGCTATTTAAAACATGACAGCATTATGTTCATAAAAATAAATTATGTTTGCATAGTTGGAATGCTTTACTAATTTGGGGGTTACAGTCCTGGTACCAACAATTAAATAGACGATCTGTTAAATGATCTTTGCAGCACTGCAAAAAACCCATCACTTTTCAAAAAAGTGAGGTTTAAAATGCAATCTTTGGGCATAAACGGAAATGGCACCAGGATGTAGATATAGACAATAATGGCTCATTTGGCTTTTTTTGTATTTTCTGACAAAATTTCAATGCTGTGAAAAACATTTTCTTACTTTTAAAAATGGGTAATATAGTTTCTGTCATGAAAAGGTCTGCTTAGAACTTTAAAAAAATTTGGAAAGAGACATAGTATTTTGTTTGCTCTTTGGTGCAGTTTCACTGAAGATGATATATTAATGAATGTTTAATAGCATTAAATGTTAATGGTTTAAATGAAGTGGACTTACAAATGCTGAAGAGTCATCTTGAGCTTGCTTTGCTAAAATATGTGGATAAGTAACTGCATGCTACAGATGGTTTGACTAAAAGCATTTAATCATATATTTTCCAGTACTTCGGATTTTTTTTTTCTTGCTGTTTGAGTAAGGATTTTATTTTTAAGTTTTAGGAAATAGTAATAGCCATGAATCAGAGACTTGCATATTAAAAACCAAAACAGCCAAACCTGAGACATCCCTAAATAAGGAGTTTTACACTTACATGTTTACTAAACCAAGGTTCAGTGGACTTAGAATGTACATTGTGTTAAAATACCTCAGGTACCAGGAGCATTGTTTAAGGATTGAGGCTTAACTAAGAGTTGCCTCATAACCATAGGTTGAGAAGCATATTCTTTTTTTTCTTTGAAAACTATTTGAACCAGACTGCATGCATTTTTCACCACAAATGCAAATGTGTGATGAAACATGTCTTGTCACGTACCTTCACTACATGGGGTAACTTCTACAAGGTGTTAGAAGCATGAGTTAGAAGTCCCCAGCAGGTCTGAACCCTCAGTTTTCATCTGAAGTGTTCCACATTTCTCTTTCTGGTGGAGGAAGGTGGGAATTTGGAATAATTAGGACACTAGAAGAATGAACTTCTCAGGTATTTCTTTCAGGAATAAAATTAATATGGTCAAGGTGAGGAGAGATGTGAATTATATTAAGAGACAATAGCAGTGCGGGTATTTATTATATGACAGAAGATCAATTAGCACACAAATACCAGCTAACAATAATATATTTGAGGTTTCTTATTTATTTAGTATGATTGCCAGAGAAACAATGAGTGTATACATTTAAATAAAGTTCACCAAACTGTAACCAGACTGCATCCTTCTTTTTCCTGGCTCAGTTTGTTTTGGCCATCCCACAGATGGCAGTGATTCTCATTTATGCTAAGATTTGCTTTCCCTACATACCTTTTTCTACCAAAATAGTGTTTTTCTGGTGCCTCTTCATCTGTTTTCTAATCTATTCTAATCTATCACTGACACTCCTGTCTTATCATAAACTTTTGCTGCAGCTCTTAGGATTTATTCCTACTCTCCTGCGGCCCCTGAATTTCTTTCTGTAATTTCTTTCTTACACTAAAGAGTTTGGATATCCCAGAGGTGATGAGAAATACTTTGCAGCTTTTAGCAGTACAGCAGACTTCAGTCTCCAATTCACTGAGAGATTCTTCTTTCCCTGGCTAGCCATTCATCACCTTCTCCTGAAGTAAAAAGTGATTTGTATATGCAGTAAAGGAAGTCCATCTTTCTTCTCTGCCACTTTTAGAGTCTTTAAAGACACAAACTTCAAGAGGAGGGATTCTCTTAACAGAGAAACATGTGGCACTAGTGTGTACTTACTAGAAGAAAATTCCTAAATCCCAAAGCCTTCTTAATGTTTAACCAGTCTGAAATTTCTCTTGTGGTTTCTCTTCACGCTTGTCAGCTGTGCAGGGTTCATTTGAAGATTTGGGTGCTCCTTTCTTTGTAATGTGTCTTTGAGCAAAAACACTTGAGGCACGTGAGAACCACAGTGCTCTGGAGGGGGACACAGTGCTGCTCAGGGATAGTAATCTGAACAGTATGAAGCTCTGTCCTATATGCTTTCTAGACTAAGTCATTCTTTTGACTGTCAGTCCTTTTCCTTCTTGCTGTGTGATTGATGGCTTTTTATCAGACAGTTCAAGAGCTTACTTTTCTAGATACAGTAAAAGAACACATGGATGAAAGCATTTTGCACTCCAGGGTGTTGGTGATAAAAAATTGGAGAATGAAACTGAATCTTATCACCTGGCTTCAAATCTGTCTATGCTGAATTTACTAATTTTTGCAATGTGCCACAATGTAGGATAGAAGAATAATAATACGAAGTTCATTTTTATCTGTTGGAGGTAGGCAGAATATGAAACATTTTCAGTAAATCAAAAGGTGTGTTTCCTGACATATTTTGTTTAAAAAAAAGTAGTTTATCTGGTTCACCTTCAAAGAATATTTAAACAATATGAGCCTAAAGTATTGTGTTCTTTGAGAAGGTCTTCTGGTTCAAATTTTTAACAAAATTTCAGCTACAGAAATTAATGGCGTTCTTTTCTTCATAGATTGCACTGAAGCTATTTCACTGAGCTTTATGAAATTCAATGCAGTAGTCAGCTCATTATGTATCTCATGGTAAAATCCAAAGAGCATCTCAGTAAAAGGATGAAAAATTGACTTTAGTAAATGACAGTGCTGAGGCTGATTTGTCAAAGTTAATGATGTAGTGCCATGGTGTGTGGGAGAGACCCTTAGTCTATGCAGATTTTACAAATACTGATTGGGATATAAAGGTGTTTGCAAAAGCAACAAAACAGTTCAAAGGGTTTTTCGTTTGTCTCCTGTGCTTCAGTTATGTCTTTAGGGGTTTTTGGGTTGGTTTGGTTCATTTTTTATTTGATTGATTTTTGCTTCTTTGGGGTTTTTTTTTTGAGGGTGAAATGTTTTTTCTTTCCAGAGTTAATCCTGAATTACTTCTGGTAATTCTTTTCCCTACCATGGCCTGAAATTGACTCATTCAGGACTGCATATGTAATAGAAAATGTGCTGTGCTCTTTTTAAAAAGAGTTCTTTGGGTCTGCTCTCATTCAGAGGTTTCTGCCTACCGTGAACTTTTTAGTGTTCCTTTGGTAGATGAATGGAGATCATGAAGTGCAGCTGATGTCAAGAGCTGGTACTAAAGATGGGCTTTTCCATTAGCAGGGTTTGATCAGGAAGGTGTGTGTGCACTACTATAAATCTCCAGTTCTTAGATTCACACTAACACACACCAACCCTCAAAAATAAAAAATCACAAAATGTAAAGTGTGTCTCTGAAGAGTAAGTTTCCATGGAGCAGTACCTTTGTCACATTAAGGTATTATGCCAGATATCAAAAGCTAAATTGGTAGTCAGAAAAACAAATGCTGTTACTACAAATTGAGCAGCCAGTGATTAAAAGCAAAACAATGTGCTGGGATTTCAAATAAACCTGTCGTTAATTCTGTCAATATTGTTAACATCTTTCACAGAAGAACAAGAAATATTGATGAAGTCTTTAAGGTAAGACGTGTAATGCAACTGCCAGGGTAAATCAGGTTTTGAATGAGGGACTGTTTTTGTTGATGGCAGTCATTTGAATCTTTTATGTTTTTCAGTATAGGTGTTGTCCATATAATTATGTAATTATGTTTCATCATAAAAGATGTCTATTACACAATGGACATTCTAGGAGTCTTTTCTTAGTATGGTAAGAAAGACCTTCCAGATAGCTCACTTTTCTGAAGGAATTAAGAAACAATTAACTCATTTATGTGGTTAGCTGACTGTGCCATGCTTTTTAAATAACTAGTATTAATTCGTTACTGGTAAGTGCAATAAATATATTTTCTTGTTACTTTCTAACTTGAGTGTTTTTTATATTAGGATTTACTTTTCTGTTGCATTAGCTAATGTTTTTAAATTTGTGATAACTTTTATAACTTTCTTCATCCTCACTGTTTTTTTCAGTGGATCTCTCTAAAACTCCTGTTGTCCTGGTATGGTAGGCCTCTGAAAGACTATGAACTCTGGGCATTATGTCATGAGTGTTTATGTACTCTGCAGACTTGCATAGATTATCCAGGTATAGTCTTAATTATAATGAAGTATTTTGCCTAGATATTTATGTTCACTCTCTTAATAGTTCCTTTATTCTGTAGATTGAAAGGATCTAGACTTCCATTTTGTGTGCAGATATTTCTATTTTGATTTCCTTAAATTGTGACGAAACTCAGCTTGGAGTTTTCTTCCATATACAGCTGAATGTCTCATATATAGGTGGGGTTTTTTTCTTTATTCTGAATCTTGATGCCTTTCACAACAGAAATTAATCTTTGGCTTCAAGCAGTGAAAATTTTTAGACTTTTTGGGAATGGAGAATCTGTACTTCAACTTTTAAGAAAAACACTTGTGACTTGTATCAAGGAGGAAGAAATAAGTTTTACACACACACACACACACACACACACACACATATATATATATATATATATATGTAAAAACTTCCTCTTTTGCTTGGATTTCTTTGAGACAAATGATTTCTGACCTCTTTTCTGCAGTACAGGGCTTTGTCATTTTAAAGTACTCAGGATCTTGTTATGGAGTTAGTCCCTCCACATCTCCTATGCTTCAGTTTATAGACAAATTATCAGAAATAAACTTCTGAGAGAAGAAGAGGGAACTGTCCTTTGACAAAATCTGAATATGTTGTGTGCGACTCAGCAGACCATCCTAGATTTCCATGGACATTCTGGATGATAGTTTAATTTATACTAATGATAAACCTATGGCAGCTCTGATAAACAGAGCAGGAGTTTCCACCACCCTTTCTTTTCCTTGATTTAAAAAAATTGCTTTAAAGAGTATGGGCAGGGATGAGTTTGAAGCCTTTAAGTGAATATAAACAACTAGATAATAATGTAGAGAAAACCTACTGCATCTCTTTGGATTTCAGCTTCAGTTATTTTATTTTTATTATATAAAACTGCTTAAAGTGAAATAAGCCATAAATGAAGATTCTGAGCACTTTAAGAATTGTTACCCATAAAACTAAGTTTTTAATATACCTTGTAACAGAAGGATTATTTCAGCCTGATTGTATATTCCTTATGTTTCTGAAGGTTTCAGATAACTGCATATAATGGCTCAGATTCTAATGTAATACACTTAGCCAGCCTCTGTTACTGCTCTCTTAAGAATGTATGTCTTAAAATATTAAAAATTGTCATCTGAACCTTATGTAGTCTGTAGAAGGGAACATAATGATACAAACCACCAGATGGAAGACACTTTACTTAAAAATTCTGTATTTCATAAATAAAGCTACCTAGAAGTTGAATATTGGTTTCAGATTTAGAATGGTTCATGGTTCTGCAAGAGGAGTCTCTGCCTTTTCTGAGGGGAATGGTGCATTGTGGAAAGGTTTTTAGTGTGTGCCTATGCACACATGTGAAGTTCTCTCAACGCTCCTTTTGAATAATACGTACTAAAGGTGAAGCTGATACATATTTTTAATATATCTTGTAAAAACATCCTTTGTCTTGACAGTGGTAGAGTGAGACTGATAGCTGATAAGCCATAGTTAAATATATGAAGCTGGATTATTTTTTATTTATTCCCATAGACAGCCTTTCCTTCCAAATCCTTCCTTGATTACTTTTATCATTATCCTAAGCAGGAATTACCTGGCTGAGAAAATATATCCCAAAGCTAGCCTCTTCTTCACGTATTTGTTAATTCAACTCTGCTACAGAAGTTGTTTGTAACCTCCACTGGGACTTAACTTAATTCCTCTCCTCTTATCAGAGGATGTTGCTTACATGTTGCTCGTGGGTAATTCAGGGAGCCCAGGTGAGGAGTCTTAGGTTGTACTGAACAAGCTGAAATCTGGTTTGTGTGAGCAGGGCCAGGGGTATTTCCTGCCAAACTGACAAAGACAAGTGAGCGTGAAGCTGCCTCTGCAGCTTAGAAATAACCAGCAAAGGTTCTCATTTGGGAAATCTTTGCTTTTCAAGACATACTTCAGGTCGAACTTAAATATTATTGAAGGTAGTAGACAAGCCTTTATGTTAAGCAGTGAATAATTTAATTCTAGATGTGGTTTGTACAGGTAACTAAAAAAAGGAAAAGTGTTACTGCCTTTTTTTCTAACTTTTTCCTTTTAGACCTCTTCAGTTAATTATTTATTAACAAATTAATATTTGTGTGTCTCGTAGACATCTTTAATATCTTATTTCATAGTTAACACATTTAATGTTTTAATCTCTTACTCAGTTTAAGAATATATTCTTCAAGTACTTAGTTTTAAATAAGAAAACTGCACTTGATGGTCTAGAAATAGAGGACTACAATTGGACTGCAAGAGGACTACTTACTGGCTAGTTGGCTTAATATATTAAAACACATTAAGTTAAAATGTCCTTTGAAGTTAGCAAACAGATAGACACAGTTTTGCCACAAGATTTTCAACACCAAATTTATATGATATGATCTCATTACCTTAATGTCACATTTCTGAAGACCTCAGATAATTTAAAGTAGTTTTAGAAATCCATTATTTCTTTTTTAACAATGGAAAATTTCATGGCCTTCCAAATACTGATCTATGTAACATTTCTTCACTGACAAATTGTAATTAAAACTATTTATGAAAAACTGGACTGCATATCCTGTTGCACCCAGAGGAGTTTTGGATCTGGCCATGTGTATGTCAGCTTTCTCCAGATGATGACCCTCTATTTTTGTGGGGTTGAAGGAGAAGAGAAAAGATACTTAAATTCTTAGATAAAATGGCCATCTTTTATTGGTACCTAGTGAGAAGACTAGAGTATATCTACCTATTATATTTATTTCTTTTTGTTTTGTGTCTTTCTTGACCTTCCTTTTCAGTGCTGGGTATAAAGAGAATAAACTTCCAATTTCTTGTCTTTGTTCTGCAGAAATTGCTTTGGGTAATTACACAGCTATTGTCTCTTTATTGGCTTGTGTCTGTTCTAGCATAAATGTTATTTAAAGCTTCATTTATTTTAGGGTAATTTCTGACACTGTAAATTCTTTGTTAAAATTATTTACTTTTATTAGTGCTAAATAGCTATAAGAACAGATAGTTATTATGCCTTGCCCTTTTGTGGGTTTTTTTTGTTTTTTTTTTTTTGCAGTGGTCTTATGTTTGGACTCTGTGCTGATTGACTGCCATGGAAGGATCCTCTTTGCTGCTCCAAAAGCTGAAGGTAAAATAAGAGATTGCATGTTCAGCTTTTATTTCTTTTCAGGGGAAGTGGAGAAGAAAGCTATCATCTTACCTTTTGTTTCTGATTTCTTTTCTTGTTTAGAATCTTGTGATGTATTTTATTTAGCTCCTGAAATTGAAGAAGAGGATGTGGATACTGAGAAGGTAATGTGATAGGTTATGTAGATTGCTTTGTATTTTATCAAAGGACAGTTTTATCCCTCTGCTAGTTGGAGAAGAAAGCTAAACTCTTCTAAGATTGTGTTAATATTTATCTTTTTGCCCAACGTTTCTTGGTTGTCTGTGGGACATTTTTTGATATATTGATCTCTCATTAAATAAGTTGGTTCTATAGTTTCTCCTTCCAGAATTCTTGGAGTAACTGCCAAAAATCTGCTATTCAATGGTTTTCCATAAGACTTAATTATTTTCAGTTTTTTAGCAGTAAGACAGGCTTTTAAGTAATTTTTCTGCATTCTGAAGGTCACAGTAAGATCATTAACTTAGACGATCTGGGCAAAAGCCCAAACATTATTCACACGTAGAAGACTGAATAAAAATATCATTATCAGTATGTTTTTTCTTTGGAAACATTATGGATTATGTCTTTTTCCAATACAGTTTTCTTAGAGCTTTTTCCTGTAGATAAAAACCATAAGGAGCTTTTAGAGCAAAGATAATAAAAATGTCAAATAGCAGGTGAATGTGTCTCCACTGCAACTACTTTTGAATTGCAAACTGTACCACAATGATCTTAAAAGTCAAGGGAACAGAATTTACAGTACCTTTCTGTTATGTAACAAGAAAAGAGGTTAGCTAATATATACCTTGTGTCACATGAGTTCTTTGGAATTAGACATAGTAATCATGAATCAAAAAATAAAAGCTCATAAAAGTCTACTAAAAAAATCAAATTTTGTGTAAAGCTATCTGTAAGTAGAAAATATTTTTATATCTTTCCTAAATTTCTTAAACTGATCCAATGGGCAGGTTTTTCAAAGGCTTCAGAAGCTTAGACTAACCCTGAAATATAATACAGCAGTTTCACCAGACAGTAGAAATTAATAATCCTAAAGCCTTTATACTTTGTTTTCTTTAGAATATCATAAGCAATGTGTTTTCTTGTTTTTCTACAACAATTATTCTATTACATATAGAATAAGCTGATGGTTTTTTTTTTTTTCCTTTTTCCTGATGGCTGTATAACTTTCTAGTTATGAACATTCAGTTCAGTTTATAGTATGGGAATGAAGACGATGTAGTGTCAGTCACAGTAACAGTAAAAAGAACTTTCTCTGAAGGTTCTGATGACTTGGATGGCAACTTTTTCCTAAATAAATTTAGAGTAATCTTGGAGTTCTAAACCTAAGGGGAAGAAAATTATTTTTTGTTTTGATTTAGCTGCTTTCTCCATTTCAGGTGCTTTTGTACCTATTAGTAGCTTTTGTTCAATTGTTCAAATGGAACTATTCAGAAGATTATTTTGTTTATAATGAACTTGTTATGTTTTGTTCATTGCTGTTCACTTTGCTCAAAAGAATGCCAGAAAACATTGTTTTATGAGAACACATTATTTTCTGCTGTGCTTAGGGTTTTGTCCATTGAGCTTTTGTAATATCTTTCAGAGGCGATGTAAAGTAGTGCTTTAAATGTCTTAAAATTGCATTTATAGTACATGCTAACATATGAAAACTAAGCATTAAGTGCACTAAATCTGACTCTGAAAATTGTAATTCTTCAAATGAAACAAGAAAGCTGGTAAAGACCAAGAACTTTTCAAGTTCCCTCATTGGGGCAACTTCAATTGGTCTAGCTGCAGGTAGCACAATAATTGCTAAAATAAATATGCAGTGCCTCATTCTTCTGACAGATGTAATCTTCTCTGTAAAATATGACTTGTGCTGACTAGTGTGTAATCACTTGTGCCACTTACTTGCTGAATTATCATGACCTTTTTTAAGTAAATTGCAGCTGGCCACATTTTATGGTAGAACTCTGAAGCTTTCAGCAATCTTTTTACATGGGAAAGGAATTCTTCAAAATGGTTCTAAAATACTTCTTTCCTAGGTGAAGAATAAGACAATTAATGTCTATTACCCTAGCAGTAGAAAAATAGCTGCTGTTTTTGGCCCTGCATGCATAACAACCAGATTTTGAAGTGGACTGGAATTTTCATCAGCACCCACAAAAAGCCAAATGTAATCTGTACATTAAAACCTCTAATATTATTTTTTTCTTTTTGGCAGGAAATGGGAATTTTTTTATAATTTGCTGGAATTGTTTTTGAAGTGGAGGCTTTTTTTAGTCTGTTTAAATCTTTCTTATGTCTTACATTATACCAATAGGTCTTTGTTTATGGTGTTGCTGCAGTTCTGTGGATGGCTGCAAAATACAGTGTTCCACTGAGTCACAAAGTAGTATTGCCAAGAAAATTTAAAAAACTACTTCTGGATATGGCAAGAAAAAACCCTGAAGAAAGACCTTCTCTAACTGCTGCAATTAAGGTTACTAGATTTAGTTGTGTCTAAAGTCTCATTTCAGTGTTTTAACATCAAAATAATAACTTAATACTTGTAATAGACTGATACCTAATTAAATCATAACCAGTCACTTTGAGTTTTGTTTTTAAAGTTACCTCCTTAGAGACACAGAGGAACATGGTTTTAATTTATATTGGAATTATCAAGGTACTTGGACAAGGTTCATAAGACTTCCTAAACTTAGATTACTGTTTATATTACTACATAATTGACTATTTATCTTGACTTTGTCCTTGTCCAAGAATACCTCACTTGATTGAAAACTTATCTACTGACTGAAAATTACAATATTTTTTTTAGACATGCAGTCATTATTTACTTGAACAAGGTATAAACAGCAAAAATATCTTGACATTATTGGGTAAACCCATCTTTAAGGTAAGAGTGCCACCTTTCTTTAATTTTGTATATTTTTTCAATTAATTCTGTAAATGTATCCCACTAAGATTTTGTTGCCTGCAAGTGTAGCTAGATTTTGGGTTTGGTTTGTTGGTGCAATTTTTTTGGTTGTTTTGTTTTGGTCTTTTGAAATGTATTTTCAAGTAGTCTGTAAGTATTGCCTTTTCCTAGTTCTTGCTGCTGGAGTGATCACTCCACAGATTGTGATGCTCTGACTCCACAATCTATATGGGTGAAGAACAAGTAACTAATTTCATAATATCTTTTTATTTACCACACCACAGAAGAAATTAATATATAATTATTGGGTTCTGTTTGTGTTTCAAATATGTTTATATAATGCATACAGGATTCAGTCAATCCATGAAACTGAGTTTATTCAAAACTTTGAGTGCCAAGTTATCAAGATTTCTAAACAGTTCTACCAGTCCTTAGACTTCCTTATGTAATTTTTTTAATTCCTCACCTTGGCATGATTAGGTTATTGCAATATTCAAGGTGTATATGAGGATTGGGATTTTTTAAAATAATGTGCTGAGCAAAATTTGAAAAAGAAAATGCTAATAACATCAATTTGGGCTTCAATGTTTATTGTTAGGCTGTTGAGGAAGAAGTCTTGTCTCAAGATCACATCGCTTTTAAATTTAAAAATGAAAAATATGAAATGGACACTTCAGAGTCAAGTCTAGGTAAGCAGTCAGGTTCTGACATGTTTACTCTGGTTTAATATTCTCTAGTTCAGTTCTCCACATAAGATTTTCTCAGTCCAATATGCAATTGTTTTTCTATCTAAATTGATTGTTACTTACTTTACATTTATATTTTACATATTTATCATCTTTCTTGTTTTTGCTTTTAGGATTTGTGCCTTTTACCAGTGAAAGTAAACTTGTTGCAGTTAAAGGACCAGTACCATGCCAGATTTCACTTAATTGTGAGAAAGCAACATTACCTGTGGCATTCACCTCTCCTGCAACTCACTTTAAGCCTATTATTTTGCAACAAGATGCAAATATAACAAAGTTAGTATATCCTAAAGCAGAATAAGTTAAAGGTTAAACATGATTGTTAAATCTAGTTGAATTTTCCTTTAAAAAAATCTTTGTGTTTTTTTTCAGAGAGGTTCAAACACCAGTTTCTGCCCAATGCAAGAAAGAGACAAGGAAAGAAAAACATATGGACCACAACAAATCAGTGTATATAGGAGACTCCAAAAACTGTGGTATTGAGGATACAGGTGTTGTTGAAACTGTACCGGAAACACCTGAGTGTGATTTACAAGTTCCAAGCCACTCATTCCAGATGTCTTCAGAAGAGCAAAACTCAGGCAATATGTTTGCTTCTACAGTTACATTACCATCACCATCTGATTCCTCACAGGCTCTGCAAGAGAAAAGCATTTCATCTGAAGATCCCTCCAGCTCTTTAGCTTGTCCTACATCTCCTAATTTTCTTCATATAAATAACATCATTCTCAAACAGGACTCAGAAAAAAGAGTTCTGACATTTGTACCAGTACATTTGGCTGTATCAGAGCAAATACCACATAAGCCTCTTCACTCAAGAATTGCTTATGATTGCTATCACAGTTTGCCAGTGCTACTTTCCAGTACTATTGCAAGCTATAAAATGAGCATGCAAGCAGAAAATGATGCCTCCCTTTACAATGTGCAAAGTCATGAGACTACTAATACAGAGAACCAGTCTGATAAAAGTAGCCCAATTATTCAAACCGACTGCCAAGAAACAGAGTGTGCTACCAGCATAGACAGTTTTTTCACTGAACAAGAGCACACACCATGTACTTCAGTGAGTAAAGACAGCTATAATTTCTTCAGTGATGAAGTCCTGCCCCATCAGAATACAACAAGTGACACTTTACTACAGGAAGTGATTCATCTTATACAAGAGGAGTTTGCATTTGATGGTTATTTAGAGAATGGAGCTGAAGTTTTTGATATGGGTATGTCCATTTTCTTCTGTATGTTATTATCATTGATTTGTAAGAATATTGCTATTAATTTTCTTCTCCCTCATTTGTTTCTGTTCTTTTTATTTTAAACAAGGTAACTTCATTTTAAACTTAAAGGGAATTAAGTTTGGTATGTTCTCTGATAGAATTTGTGAGAAGTTTTGTGACCTCTACTGGGATGAAAAGTTACTGGAGAATCTCTATCAGGTAGTAAATGGAGGAAGATCTTCACATTTATGGTAGGTGGTTTTCAACTTTGACCTTATATTCCTTATATTTGAATTTAATGTTTTTATCCCTACTTTGTAGAAGCAGGAAAGAATACACGTTTCTCTTCAGGTATTCATACTTCCTGTAAATTGATCATTTCACAATTTGAGGTCTTTCAAAGCTTTCTCCATGGCAGATAGTGCTTAATCGTTCAGTCAAAACTATTTTCTACCACCCTTTTCTGTAACTCCATCTTAGGATAGCTAAATAATGGAAACCCAGTTCTGATAAATTAATGGAATCCCAGTTAATCAATTAATGGAAACCCAAACCTGATCAATTGATGGAGAGCTTCATAGTCTTGTTATAAGGAGACTGTTTAGTTAGAAGTATATTGTTCTTATTGTTCAGTGTGTTTATTCTGTTTGGTATTAGTTCTTTATACATCATGTGTTCTAATCACACCCAAGAAAAAGGAAATTAATTAAGCTTTGCTAGAAATTATTAATTTAACTGGTTTAATTTGACTCAGTATTCCTCCTAGCAGTGTTTTGTAAGTAGCCTGTTAGGTGACAAAAAACAGCTAAATTTATTTCTCATTTTTCTTATTTAATTTTCACTGACATGTGTATCTACCTGAAAAACAATTTTTAAATTCTTATTTTACTGCAGCCTCCAAATGTAGCACACTTTTGTAGAAGTGTCTTGCTGAAGACTGTTGAAAAATGTGATCAATTTATGTCAAAGTTAATTTGGGGGTTTATGGAACTACAAATGTCAAGTTTTGACAAAGAAGCTTAGTAGATACAGTTTAGAAAAACTTCATTGTTGAAAGGTGTATAATCCTTACAGCAAATTTCAGAGATAATAGATTATGACCTCCAAATACCCAACCTTGTTATGCTGGCCTGTTTCCCATCTGAGTTTGGATTTTTAAGGAGATGGTGAAAATTGGTTGGTAGTTAGGCCCTTAGTTCCCCAAAATTCAGTGATATGCTAAGACAAACCTGAGCTGTTGCACCTGAATTACTGAGATGTATGAAGGGTTATCCTGTGTATAAACTTTTGTTACAAAGTAGTTTTTGACAATGAGAGATCATAATTTATTATCCAGAGAAAAATGCAGGTCTAGCTTTTACATCACATGCAAGCCCTGTCTTAAAATATCTCTCAGACACTGCTTACTTAACATCAGTTTGACAAAGACTATAGCAATTTTTCAAGTGTTAGCTTCTTTAACTTGAGATTATGATTATGATTCTAACTAGGGATGACTTAGAGTCAATTTTATCCAGAGGCTGACTCCTGAGTGAAAAACCCACTACAGTAACTCTGCAGTTATGCATTCTGTCTGTGTGTGCTCTGATCCTTTGTGTTGGAGTTTTGCCAAATGCTGTACAGGAAAGTCTCTATCTTATTGTGCTTGAATAACCATCTGAACATGTTTTTCCTTGTAAAATAACTGCAGCTGAACATGAAAACTTTAGGAATTAGATACAAGCTATGAAGTTTTTTATGTGCATGATATAGTCACTTGTAAGATTTTATTTTACTGATATAAATATAAAAGTATAGGAAATATTAATTTTTCCTAGTCTCCTTGTGTTTGCAGCATCACTGAGACAGATGAAGCAAAATGCGACAATACATTCCAAGATGTGAAGAAACCTGAAAGCTTTTTGGCAAGCAGTGATCAGACAGAGGGTGAGAAGAAACTTCATGTTTCTAGATCTTTGTGAGTGCTGGGAATCTATCAGTGACAGAAGCTTTGAGACACTTTGCTTGTGTCTTCAGGAAGGCACTCTCCTTTAACAGTTACAGACATTTTCATTTGAATCTGAGCATTATCAATGCCTTAAAGACATAAATATCTTTTCTATAAAGCTTACATATGACCCAGTGTTATTTTGTGGGATGTCATTTACTTTTACTTACTTTTATTTAAACAGATGTCTCTGTTGAAAACCCTAAGGATGGTAACTGCTATGTGTGGTTTTCTTGTGTTCTAGTGTTTACTATAGAAGTGAATTGTTTATTTATACTGCTTCAGTTTGGGTTTTACATTTCTCCTGACAGACTTTGAGATTGAAAGTTTACAAAATAGCTATCTTTCAGTAACGAAACTTAAAACTGAGCTGAGACTGGTGAATCCTAATATTATAACAAAACCATTACCCTTTCTAGGCTTGGTGCCTTGATGGACAGCTTCTATTTGGTTGCTGTTTTATCAGTGTGAGGTTTTTTTCAAGGTAGTTCATCCAAATTTCAGCATTTAAACTTGGTTACTTCTTTGTTTAGAGCAAAGTGAAAATGTGTGTGATTTACAGAAGGGCTTATACACTTGTATCGTGCATTTTTATAGCAAAACATAAATTTGTAATTTTTCACTTGGCTGCTGTTGTTCAATATTACAGTTTTCCATTTTGGCCCAGAATGATTGCAAATGTAGAGCCAGGCTTTACCATGGAGTGTGTGATTTTTTTGCACCAGGAAATTAACTTTGTTTGACTCCAAGGTGGCGTATCTAAGCCCTGGAGGGTTGCTCAAGTGAAAAGGGAGACTTCTGGCAGGTATAAATGCTCCTGTCAACATTACACCAACCTTTGACTGTCATCTCAGTCCCTGAAGGCTGGTAGAGTAGTTGTTACAACTGAAAAAAGTCCCATCATAACTCGAGTCCTGTAGGAGTAGAAAGTTTAACATCTATTGGCTATATCAAGTATTCTTGCCCTCTCTGTATGGAATGAAAAGATTCAAGACTTACAGATGGAAAAAAAACTTAAAAGCTAAACATTTTACCAGTGTGTGCTTAGGTCTGACATATTTAAATACTGTTTTAAAGTTTCTCAGTGTTATTTAAATCCTTGTTGCATATGCATGGAAAATACTTTGTGCTTTTCAGAAATTTATTGTTTAACTATTGCTTAATAGTTCTGAAATGTTTTTAACGTTTATCATTTCACACTGTGTAGTTGAAAAAAAAATGTAAAGTCACAATAAGCATCTAAACCCACTGTTAGAGCATTTGGATAGTCTCATAATACTGTTTTGTATATGTCATGTTTAAGTTCAATAAAGCATGCATTACAGCACATGACCATTATTTCTTTTCCCCTACATACCTTCTTTAGGAAAAGAGGAAGCAGACTTTGATGTGAAGGCTGAGCCTGTGATAAAAACATCATTAGTTGAAATGGATCTTGATGAGTCACCTTTGGATAATATCAAAAATGAATTGACTCTGCAGAGTACAATCCCCATAGCAAAAGAGCAACAGTATTTGCAAAGCAACAGCTGTGGTCCAGGCTTTGCAGAAAAAAATGCAAGTTCAGAGGAACAGGCCATGATAAAGACAGCTAGAAACAGTTACCTGGCATCTCCCAATCTCCCTGACTTTTGTGGCTGTAGTCCTGGTTGGAGCAGTGCATTTTATGGAGCTGAATGTTTTGATTCAGAAGTTCATAGTTACTTGAAAAACCTTGGAAAGCAGAAATCAAGTGAGTTACAAAATATAGATGCTAAAAAAGTGGTAAGTACATTGATTTTAAATCATTAAGATACATCTTGCTGGGTAAAGTGTGAAAAAATTTGTTCTGTTAACATGAGTCAAAACACCATTTATTTTTTTCAATATTGACTCTTAAGCAGTTTGAAATCCTCAGGATTTGTCATGTCTTAGCAATAAATCACAGGAGTGGCATAGCATTCCAAAATAAAGTGCAGTGACACAAATGTGCAATCACCAATCTACAACCCATTTTCTGTTCTTAAAGTTAACTGGAAAAGCACTGTCTGGCCTTTGCACCAACCCCATGGTGGTGGTACTGTAGAAAAGAGCTAAGAATGACTGTGACTGGAGCACATCACAGTCATAGATCTTCATCAAAACTTTTTATACTCTAGACCTGAGTCAGAAAATGTTGTGGAATAGACAGGGAATTTGCCTCTGACTTCAATGCTTCTCATCCCAGATTTTTTAGGGGACAAACTGCTTTGTCCTTCTGATTCTCTTTCTGTTTACATAGTCTCTTAAGCACCTTGATTTTGTTTTAATTGATGAAGCAAAAGTAGATCTTAAAGTAAAAGCGAGCAACTTCCAGTTAGAATCTGTGCTTTCCTTGTTCTCTATGTAATGCCTTTGTGGGGGTACCTTTTAAAATCCAGGGGACTTTTATGACTCTATGCTAATGAACTATATTGTTAAACCTCCTGAGCTTTTCTGAAAAACGGTGACAGGTTTTTCTTAAACTCAAATTATTTTCTAGCAAGTCCATCCCATTAAAGCTAACCTATTTACCAATCTGTTGTTTGGTATGTTAGCTCTGAGCTCTGTGTTTTCTGATCACTCTGCTTGTGGGAGTTGTCTGCTGCATTCCGTGAACTCACTGCATTTAAAATGCTGTTTCATGTAACTGGGTCACTGGTAGTTAACTTAGGACCCAAGTGCAAAAGTCACCTCTTTTATAAAGCACAACACGCATCATGTTTGTTGTTTCATAATAAATCAGAAGCTGAACCCGAAGTGGATGGCCCATTTTTACTGGCTGGTAAAATAAGGAAACCTTTGATATGCAAACAATTATAAATGTAAATGTTTACTTTTGAATTTATATATTTTAAGGGGCCTGATAATCTTTCATTTCTACTCATTGCTTAAGTTACATAATTCTATAGAAATTTAATTTTTTTCAACTTCTTAAAATACATAAATAGAAAATATGAAAATTGAACTTTGAAATTTATATGTCCTTTATTTCTAGAGCAGCTCTCTTGTCTCCCTTCTGACCTGGTTGTATAATATCATGTACTTACACTTGTTTGGAAGTCATTGATTTCAGTCAGACTTTCAGTTCTTGCTGCAAATATAGTCAGCTGTTTAAAGTGTTTCTAGGGCCTGCACTAAATTCAGACCATACAAATCTTAATTCTGGGTTACTTCTGATTTTAAGTTTTAAAAATGCTCTTGAAAACAACCAGATAAATGCAATTATAACTAAAGGCATATTTATTGTGAACAAATTCAGACAAACTTCCACACAGCCTGATCATACACAAATCTGATCCAGTTCTTAATTTGTAGAACTGTGACATCACTAAGGCTTTTCTGGAAACAGGTAACTTCTACTGTATCTTGCCTGTAAACACAGATATGAAAGATAGTTTTTCATTGTTAATAACATATTCTTGTCTGTTCGGATGTTCTTTCTTCTTCATACAAAATAATTATCCTCTAAAACTTCACGTTTGTACTAGAACTGCCTTCTGCTAACAATTCTGATCAGAATCCTATTTCTTTTTAAACAGGAACTAGAACAATTGCTAATGATGGAGACAAAAAATTACAGAAAGACCATAAAGTTTTACCAGAAACTATTGCAGAAAGAAAGAAGGAGGAAAGGTAAGATTACAGCAACTTGCCAGTAATAAAACGGCTGCAAGGACCTGCTCTGTAAATCTGAATCACTGATGTTCTTATGCCATGCATTTTAAATCTAAAGGTCCTGAAACTAAATCTATGCTGCCCAAACTGAGAGGACAGCTACAGGAGATGAAATCAAAAGTGCAGTTTCTTGAACTGGTAAAGAAATATGTGCAGGCAAGTCAGACTTTATTTCACTTGTGCTTCCTTTGTCATTTCATTACTGCATCAGTGTAACTGGCTGCTCAGATCACTATGTGAAATTTGAAATAGTTTGTGTCAAATTGCCAAATTAAGTAAGATCCAAAAGAATTATTAAAGGTAATTTCCACTAGTATTACTTGAAAAAAAATTGATTATATAAATGCAATTTATCTTTAAATTGATTGCATTTTGTGTGAATTTTCCTCTTTAATTTCTTGTTTTATCATGGCCTTGCTTCTTTGAGCAGATGATGTATGCAGAGCAGTGGGGTGTGGAATCCTGCGTGCTTCCTACAGTCATTCACAATGGGAAAGCTGACACCGTGGACATGGCACCTATGGATGAATCATCATTGCTGCTTTACTATAACACAGAGAAACAGCAGTGTCACAATCAAAACGGAGTGAGAGTTCTGCAGGCTGGAACACCACTTGGCTTGATGGCTTATTTATATTCTAGGTATAGTCTATTTTACACGTAAATTGGGACTGGGTTGAAGCATAGCTGCTAAATCAAGAAAAACTTGCCTCTGTGACAAATCCTAGTTACTCAACATTTAATAACTTCTCCTCTCTTCTATCAAGTTTGTGTTATTTCTGTGATCACTCAGTTACAGAAATGGAGATGAAAATGTCAGAAGATTGGCTGGCTTTCATTAAAAGTATTTAGTAATAAATAAAAAAAATAGCAACTTTGAACTTTTTATCTTTTACTTATTTGAGGTTTGCTCTGGTAGTTGCCGTGGAATCAAGACTTTATGTTACTGCCAGCAGTGCAACAATTCTTCAAATAAGCATATAATCATATAATTTGGTAATTCTTATTAATAAGGTCTGGGTATGAAAATGTTTAGGTTCAATTCTACAGATTATTGCCCCAAGAATCAGTCCTTGGTACTGATCAAGATGCAGGCTTATCTCAGGGTTTAAAGGGGGACAGAGGTGTCCCTCAACTCCAGTGAGGGCACTGTTGTTTTAAGGTACCTAAGCTGATATAGTGTGAAGGATGGAAATTGCCAGAGGCTCCATCAGACTTGTGCCACTGTAGAGGGAGCAACTTCCTCCCAGTTACTTCTCCCAGTTCATCCTGACTCTTGAGACATAGTTACACTGAGTGCTGCTTTTCCTGGTAGTTAATATTTTGCACAAAGTGAAGGAAATGTTTTGGAATTGGACTTTCCATATTCATCAAACTCAAACTTCCATGGTCACCTGTAGGCCAATAGGGAGAAAAGACAATTTACCTGTGTTAAGACCTTGAGACTGTGTGTGTGTATAAAAAATAAAATGCCCTAATTTTTAGTATGTGTATAATAAGTGTATTCTGTTGTTAAAGTAACTACTCTAATTAGAGCTACAGGAAATATTTTCTTGCTTAATGTATCTACTTCTTATGCTGTTATTATAATAAAAATGCTTTAAAGCAGCATCAAGTTAGATGATAGAAAAAAAAAAAAAAGAAAATGTAATAGTTCTTCCATACTATTTAGATTGCAATATGCCTTAATAATGGAAATGTCAAAGTGGTTACTCACAAAATTTAAAGTAGAGAAACTCTTTATAAAACAAATTATGCTTTCAAGGTTAGCAATCACAGTATTTGATGTGTAAAAATAATTTTTAAAAGAACCAAGGTTTTATGAAGAGTTTGAGAATTTAAAATGCCTATTCTTGATATTTTGAGGATTATTTTGCTGTTGCTATACTTGAATGCAAGTTGAAGATGTGTTCTGGCTTGTCTGAAGTTTTTCTTGTGCTTTACAGAAATGCCTTTTTAGAAGGTTATGTGCAGCAGTTTCTTTATACATTTCGTTATTTCTGCACACAAGAAGAATTTTTGCAGTTTCTTCTTGATAGAATCAGCAGCACTTTATCCAGGTACAGTAAATTCCCATTAAAAACATTATCAAAACACAATTGAGTTTCCTCCCAATAACAAATAGCTGTTTCTCAAAAGTCCTGCTTAATTAAAATGAATTTTTATGTTTGTTTTTGTAAGATTCTCTTAAGAAGTGAGAGCAAAATGAGAGCAAGAGCTGCATCTGACAATGTGCTTACTTCTCAGTTCTGCTTCTCACTTTTACCAGTTATCCACTAATGGGTAGTAATTACAACCTCAGCTTTGTTTCTATAGAGCCGTGGATTCTAGAGACATGAAATTTAGGAATTTAAGATACTACACTAAATACCAAATAAAACTTGTGGGTTTTGTCAGTGCTTATTTTTAAATTTGAATTGGATATCAATTTTATAAAGTTTCTTTTTCTTCTCACCAGTGCAAGCCTGGATCCTTCCACGTCCCTTACCAAAATATGTAACCGCAGTTTCTACATCCTGCAGGCATGGATTGAAGACTGTTACAGTGTAGACTTTGCAACAAACACTGATCTTCTGGGTACCCTAAAAGAATTTATTTCTTCCAAGGTAATCCAGAATTTCAGTAGATCCTTTAGGAAAAAAAAAAAAAGTCAGTTATGCGATATGTATCAGTTATTACAAAAAGCTGCTCTAAGTATCTAAGTACAATTAAAATAAATACAAGAAAAATAATACTGTATTTGACAGCTATGTTCAGTGTGCCTGGTTTTGGACAGGTAAGAATCTTACAACTGTATTTGCAACTTGCTTATAGTTTCTGGGAAATTGAGTTCCGTGTTCTGCTAGCCTGTTTTGCATTCCCAGGTTGCTTCATTAAATGGCTACGGGGAGCGCTTGTTGTCACTGCTCGAGGATGCCTCTGCCAGGAAAAGTGGCAGTGCACATCTGTGCTCTGGTGTGCACAAATGTGAAGAAGAAAGTGAGGAAGGCAGAAAAACATTACATTCCCTATGTAAAAAGCTCTCAGAAGATGTTTCCAGAAAGGTGTGTCTTTACTTCAGACTGCAGTGTATGGAGCACATTTCCATATATTATGTTTTGACAAAAGCAGAAGTGTCCAACTTAGAGTCCAGAACTACTTAGTTAGAATTATGCACCTGCATTTTAAATTTTCTTTTGAAAGTTAGTCAGTTCTGTAACCATGACAATAATCTTAAGTTTTAACTCCTGACAGCTGTTTCAGTAATCACAGATCAGATAATCAAAATTTTGAGAGTAGAACTCTTCACTGTTGACACTAGCATGTGGCTCATAGTTATTAGGAAACCTTTGCCCCCTTCTCAACCATTAATGCTTTTTATTAGGCATCTTTGTAAGATTATAAATACAAAAAAACAGCAGGAGCTATAAGGTTCCCTAATAGAACTTCAAAGCTTGTAGCAAGAACTTGTCTGAAATTTTGTCTGTATTTACTATTTTATTGTCTTCTACGGCCCCTGAAACCAGAACATACTGCAGGCTTTTCCTCAAAACAGATCTCTTTACAGAGTGACCAAAATAACATGTGGAAGTCAAATGTAGCAATAATTTGCAAGCTGAATTAAACATCAGCCTCATGATAAAGGTGTACAATTCTATGGGTATATTGGGGATTCAGCCAAGAAAGGACAAACAGAGTAGAGGAATGTGGACTTTTTTTATTGTCACTGCACAATAATGATAATGGATAGTGGAAGAACAGAAAACTAATTGTTGGAAAAAGGATGTTTGATTCTAAGCAAAAAGAAGTAAAATATTTTATGGTAGCAAGCTTTAATATACAAAGGTTTGTTTGAAACACTGATTGTTGATTGAGATCTGGCAGCCTCCTGCTTAGACTCATCCACTGTGCATATTACATTAGCTTAAAATAGCAGTGTTGAGTAAACCAGTTTGTTCTGGGCTAACCTTGAAGGTTAGCTGAAGAGCTTTGCATGCACAAAGGTATTTCTCTTAACAACACCTTCTTGAAAGTTACATCAACGGGAGACTGAGAGTTTGTTTTAAAGAAGTTGTAACCTTACGTTTATTTTTTCTACAGAACTTCTACTGGAAGCTATCCAAAGGTATGGGACCAGTTGCACAGTATCAGAGACAGCGACTGCACACAGGTTCAGCAGTTTTGCCAAAGCCCTGCTGCAGCAGTGTCACAGAAGATTCTTCAGTCTCCTTAGCTAGAGCAGATGAAGTGGGGCCAGTTCTCTTGATGGAGTGCAGTGCCCAGCAGCTTTGCTGGCAGCTGACCCTGCTGCAACAGGTACAAAGGTCTTAGGTTTATTTAGAAGTACAAATAATATCTATCTTCTTACTCTTTCTCTTCTTTCTTTACCATTTCCCAACATTGTTTCAAGCTGATGTCATACTATTTTATAAGACTTTGAATTACAATTTTTCTCTTGAAATCTCCACAGTGAAATTTATAATATCTAATGCTATTCTTAGGCTGTGATCATGCTCATAATTCATGCTGGTGGGGTGGGAGGGGACCATACTCTGTCATTTTTATCCCCAAGCATGTTTAAAAGAACTGTTAGAACTAACAGCAGATACATCTTGATTTTTTGTTTAGGAAGTATTTAATAAATGCCACCCAGTACACTTCCTAAATTCCAGAGCACTTGGTGTTAAAGACAAATGTGTTGCTGTGCCAAAGTAAGTTGCTTGTTTTAACTATCTTTCAATTCTGTTGATGCACAATAACTTGAGTGTTACACTTTTAATACCGCCAGAAACAGAGAAACAATTTAAATACTTAATTTTTTTTTTTTTACAGGCTAGGTAGCCTGTTTATATGGGTTATTTAATTTCAGGAGATTTCATATGAGGATATGGGTATGTGCCTGTGCACATGCATGTATGTGCATGTGGAAGGCCACATTTACCAGGTGATTTCTTTGAAATGTGAAGTGAGTTGAGGCTAAAAATTCTTATTTCTAATAACTTGTTTTGAGGGTTTCTTGAAAGGTTTCATTTTTGGCAGGGAAAAAGTGTCATGGGTTCTAAAGTAGATCTGTGGTCATGAATGTCTATATAAAATCTCAAAGACATTTAAAGTCTTACAGAATAGCTGAGGCTGGAAGGGACCTCTCAGGATATGTAGTCCAAGCCCCTGCTGAAAGCAAGGTCAGCTGGACCAGGTTGCCCAGGGTTGTGTGCAGTTGGGTTTTGAAGGTGGATGGAGACTCCACAGCTTCTCTGTACAATGTTCCTTCTGTATGTTAGTGAGATGAATTATTTGTATTCAGAGGCATACAGGAATTTTCCTATAGTTCCTGGAGTGATTGCCAACCTACTTAAATTATTTGCTCATCAGTAATTAATGTTTTCATCCAACCACATAGACCTAATTACTTTTATGATGGTCTATTTCTTAGATACTCAGGGGATTCAGTTAGCTTCTAATTAGTAGTTGTTAATTGCACTACCTATGGTAGATTTTTGCTTCTAAGGAAATCTAATGAACATCTAAAGCAACTCAGATTGTTAAATGGCCAAGGTTAGATCACCTGGTTTATACAGATTTTGGGGTTCAGTCATGGGAAATGACATGTGTGGTGTCACTTGATATCAGGCTCAATTTCTTATGTGGCTGCAGTTCTTGAGATTGGGTTTCTGGCTGTTATTTTGTGTCAGATTGGCTGGGCTTTTATTATGCAGTAATAAGTGGTGAAAGTGTTTTTATGTACAGAAATGTATTCTGTATAAGCTTATTTTTTTAATCAGATATACTTACCTTGTAATTATAAGGAAGAAAAAGTAACATGGCTCACCACATACATCATGAAGTATAAAATCAAGATGCCAAGCAATGCAAAATTATTTTAAATTGTTAGAAGTTGACTTCTTCACAATCAAGGTTTTCTTTAAAAATACAGTATCAGCTAGAATTATTTTTGCCTTTTTTTTTCTCTGTATTTTCCTTAGGGCAGTTTCTACTGAGACAGTTTCACTTAAAGTCTGTAATCTTTTTCTGTCGAAGTGCATACAAGACCAGTACCTTCTGCAATTATTGAAAAATGCAGACAGTATCAGCACCTGGGTTGCTGCTGAAATTGTAACATGTCACACAACTAAGGTTTGTCATTGTTCATTGTACTGTTAACTACAAAAGAGTTATGTATTTGTCATTATATATGACTTGTTGTGTATCAAACCTGCAAGAAATGGTCTGAAATACACTCACCCTGTGAGTAGGCAGTTAACAATTTGGTTTGTTGTCACAAGGAGGGTCTTGGATGCTTTTTAGTATCAAATCTAAACAATCTAATAGAATGTAAGAAATGGATTGTCTGAGGGAAATACAGGTCACACTTTCTTCAAGGACACCTGAGCAATAGGAAGGGAAAAACTGTGTGAAGGGAAATGTAAATACAGTCAGCAATTTTGATAACAAATTGAAAAAGGAAATACCTGTTATTCCTTCTCATTTAATTTTATTCTGTACATTTACTGTGTACATGTATATATTATATATCTTAATTTTTTTTTCCAGTGGCAGGTGAGCTTGTTATCAAAATTTCTTCTCATAGCAAAATGCTGCTATGAACAAAGAAATTTTGCTACTGCAATGCAAATCCTAGCAGGCTTGGAAAATCTTATTATACGACAGTTGCCAGTAAGTTTGGGACTCTGTTCTCTAACCATTTTGCTTAATATAATCTTATTCCAATGCAGACACTAATGTAAAAAAAATATATATTCTGTTTTGTTATAAGGCCTGGAAAATTCTACCTGCAAAAGTAGCTGAGATAATGGAGGAGCTCAAGGCTGTTGAGGTATCACATAATAAGTTCTTAATGCAAAATTACATCTTTCAGGTTGGAGAAGGTGCAAAATCTGCTTAAATGGGTGTCTCTGCAGGATGAAAACTATAATTATTACTTTAATTGTGAGTTTAATTTGATTGAAGACTTTTTACTGCTAATCCAAGAGTTTACATAAATTTTAATCTCAGTATTTTGTTAACATGTGTCCTGTGTGACAAATTAAAATTTCAAAAGCAAGCTCAAACATTAGATATGCTACATTGGGTTAGAAAATTTCTGCAGAAGCTTTGCAGCTGTAATGTGTTCTGAAAAATCTTAAAAGCCTATTTTATTATAGGCATTCTTTTATTGATCTGTACAATTTTGAAACATTGAGGTTTTAAAATGTAATTTTGCCTGTGATTTAGAGTAATTGAAATTATGTATGAAATATCTTTTGATCAAAGTTACTTTATTTGTGTACTTTAAAAAGTTTGCCATCAGATGAATTCATAGTGTTGTCTTCAACTTCAGTGCCAAAAGTTAATATTCATGGCAAATAAATAGATAGTGTTAAGTACATGGAGAACTTGTAAAACCTTCCCCAAGATTAATCTGTGTGCATTTTTTCACTAGGTGTTTTTAAAAAGTGACAGCTTATGTCTGATGGAAGGAGACAGATTCAAAACTCTTCCAACAATTCCGTCAGCCCATGTTTTGGCTATGCATGTCCAGCAGCTTGAAACTGGAGGATTCACAATGACAAATGGAGCTCACAAGTGGACTAAACTTAGGTAATTATTTTAATTCTGTGCATATATCACCTATGTTTTTCATTATACTATTGTCTAATGAGATAATGAGAGCTAATGCAGCATTCCACAATTAACAGTCCAAATAGTTTAATTTGTTTAGACATGTAACTAGAGGTACATATACAATAGAATAAAATGCTGGATGCCTCTGAATTTCCTTTAAGTTTTTTTGTTTTGTTTTGTTTCTGCTTTTGTTTTTTATCATCAGCAAAACAAACTAATCTTTTTTACTATATTCTCTTACAAGAAATATTGCAAAAGTTGTGAGCCAAGTTCATGCCTTTCAAGAGAATCCTTATACATATGCACCAGATTTCAAGCTGCAGTCTTACCTCAGACAAAGAATAACTCGTTTTAAAGATGCAGACATTTCTGCCTTGGCAGCTGACAACTGTGCCAACTTCCATCAGATACCAGCAGAAAAACATTCTCGAAAAATTCAGGACACACTGCGCAGGATGAAAGCAACATTTCAGTAATTATTTATGTTTCATCTGTTCTGTTCTGGGTCTAGACTGTAAAACTGGATTGAGTTGACTTCATCTACTGGACCTAATTCCAAGAAAATACTTAAGTGAAGCAAGATAAAATGCTTTCTCAAGTTGAAATTATTGTATTTCATAACATGGAATTACAAAACGCTGACTTATGAGATTTGAATCACTGGCAACTGATTAAAAGAAGAAAAACAAAGATAAAATTAAAGAGTATAGATGAAAAGCCTTATTAATTTTGTTACTCTTCTTTAGCATAAATAATTAATTAGCCTGAAAACCAATATCTAAAAAATACCAGCTTCTATTGCCAATCTGGCCTAGGAGAGTTCAAAACATAGTTCATTAACTGTTGAATCTATTTTTATATAAACACAGTACACTTATATCCTGTCACATTGTGCATATAATTCAGAAACACAGATCCTCTGCTATTCATTGGCTGTTGGTGTGTCTTGCTTTTATGTTGTGTATTATGAAAACTGTAACTGACATAAATAATTGGCTGTCTATTTCTCCTTACCAAAGAAGGAGAGGAATGCTATCGTTCAACTTTTTTTTTTTTTTATTGTTTGATTAAAGTCATCAGACTAACCTATTTCCAAATGAAAGTAAGATCTGGATGTAAGTATTAGCAATTCATTGCTCTGCTTCTGCGCTCCTGGCATTGTGAAGACAGTAAATGTGAAACTGCTTTTTCATCTGTATTTGGCACAAGAGTCACTTTGCCAATTTATGTCTGTCTGCACATTTGAGTATGGCTTTTGCTCCTGAGGTTGTTTCTGTAGATCACAGTGCTCCAGCAGCATCCAATACAAGATAACCATGTGAAATTTGGATCTTCAACTTGTAAAACTCTGGTGCTAACCTATTCATAGAGCTTATACTTACAAGACCTTCTAAACGGCCATGAAATGTGTCGCTATTGCTAGAAAATTTGTTGAGCTACTCAGGATTATGCAAGGCCAGAATGTTAAGGCTAAAAATCAAAGTTCAAAAGTTCAAAATACACGTATTTCTACCAGAGGGAGCAATGGTAGTGCCGAATGAGAAGTAGGGCAAGACATGCTTGAGCACTCTTCTGAAAGTGATTTGCTTAGAACTGTGTTAAAAAAAAGGTTTTGAGAGAAGGGAAGGGCAGAAGTGAACTAAGTATCTCATCAAATGTTAGTGATAGAGAAGGATAACAATGTAAGAAATGGGAGTGTATACATGTCTGGTATTTTGCAATTGTACTGTTGTGTTTGACAGAAATGCATGTGCACATGCTAAACTGTAGCTTTCTCAATGTATAAGAGGAAGGCTTTTCCTTTTCTTTGTCAGTAACAGCAATATTATATCTCAACTCTCTCCCATCTTCCTCAGTAAATACACGGCGTGGCCATACTTTCCTTTAAATACTGTTATTTTTTCTTACTAATACAATACTACTAACTTTTAGCTCTTACTGGTTTAAACGCTGAAGGACTTGGTCCTCAACAGAGTTTTCTTGCTTTTGTTCTACATTTAATATGATTTATTTTATTTACCATATGTAGGTTTAACATGTCATTAATTATAGTATTTGGACTTAGCCTGAGGGAAGTAAATCATGTTGCTATTTCTCTAAAAATTGTCAAATGTGAAAACATTAAATATTTACCTCCTACCTTCATGATTTAAGAATGTTAATAATAACATTATCTTCAGACATACATTTCACATATTCTATCTGTATGCATTTATTTTTAAAAATTGGTTTTGTTAGTAGTTTTTGGGGTTTTGTCAATTAAAAATTACCATTCGCTTAAACCCACACCTTGCCTTTGAACGACAATAAAATTGTAAGTAGCATAAGTTTTACTAATGTAAAATACTCCACAAGACTTGCTAATCACATGATCTTAATAAATTCATTTTATACAGTTACCAGTCAGACTTTTGAAATGGCTTTTGTGATTTTTTTTATTTGTATTTTGCACTCATGAGAATTAGCTTGTGTATTTCTTAGCTCTGTGTTACTACATCTAGAAGTATTGCTTATTCTATAACAATAACTGTTGCTATACAAGATTTTAAAAATCAGCTCATGTCTTCTGTAAGTGCTTCAGTTTATCAAACTTTATATTGGTATTAATGCATAGTATTGAGTTATGGTACTACTTTGGCATGTTTCCATCGATCAGACATTTCAGATCTTGTGTTTAGGCACCACCCCACAACAACCACAGCAACAAATATTAATAGCTGATGAAAAAATAACTTACTTCTTTACAAGGAAGCTGGTTTGGTTTTGTCCATGAACACTGAACACAAATAGATGTTTACGTATGTGCATCTTACATGACACGCATTTCAGAAGAAAGTTGTATCTAGCTTATAACTGTGCTGCTCATTTATGACTAACAAGCAGTAAGGGTTGAGCTCAAGTATTTTTTCTTTGTGAAGAATGCCCTTTAAAAACAAAATGGGACAAAATATATCAAAAAAATATGTTCATTTCTATCTAGTTGGCAAAATATTATTGGCATCAGTAATCATACTCCATGAATGAGGGACTTCGCAGTCCGGCCCTGTGCTTCTGTTCCAATGCCAAATTTTTTTGGGGAAAAATATTTGAGTTTTCCACCAGTTGTCCTAGCTCTTCCTTATTTTTTCCATATTCTCCTCATCTTGCTTTTATGTTTATTTTTCAAACAGTGACCCGTGGAGTTCTGAAATGAAGTCTGCTCCTTGTGAGACTTTACAGCTGCTTAGTGTGCATTGGTGCCCTAGGCAGATGTTTGCCTTCAGGATCCCTGGGGTTTTCACTGCTCTTATGAGAGAGCTGGGAAGGGTGTCCTTCTTACACCAGCTCTGTTAGAAATCAGGTGTTCAGCTCCAGCACCTCCAGAAGCCTGCCAGGAAACAAGGGTGGAACTCAATTGGACCTATGAATCATTCTGTAGAATCCCAAACCAAGGAGTTGGCATATAATTAATGAATCAACACTGATTCATGATTCTGACAAATTCCTTTCCTTAGAAAATTTTCAACCATTTCTAGACTTGGCTTTGTGTATTGGATTGGTTTCATAAGTGTTGCTGAGACTCAGCATTTCTGTGAGTATTCAATGTGATTTGCAAAGGATTGAAACTTGAGGGAAAGTTTGTAAATTAAAAAATAAATAAGCTATAGTTAGAAAGAGGTGGAAGCCATCAGTTTTTTCAGTGTTAAACATACAGCTGATTGTTTCAATCTTTGGTATTGTGATGGTGGAAAGAGTGCAGATAAATTATTTTTCTCCTTCATACTTGTTTAAATACAATCCAAAGCATAACCTGGTTTCAATTCCAAGTGTTCTGTTTAGAGCTACCATTTTTTTTCTCTCAGAAAGTATTTTTTTTCTCAAAATATCCTTTATAAATAATTTGTTTTAAGTGAATGCTGAGCTTTGACAGACCCTCAAAGCATTGGAAGTGCAGGTTTGAACAATATTTGAAAACTAAAGTCCAATAGATCAAACTTAGTTGAGGGGTCATCTTTGGGATTTGACTGATGAGGAGATATTCTTCACCTATAAATGTTTTTGCCTTCATTAAGTTATTATAAATATGGGACACTGTCCTCACTACAATTTGGACTATAAAGATATTTTGGGAGTTTTTTCACAAGAGATCTTGTAATTATTACATACCAGTAAGTTACTATTGTGTGGTGTAATATTTCATTGGGGATTTTTATGTGGCTTTATAGCCTGATAACCCTCTAAAATACACATGAGAATGAACAGCTTCATGTTTTGAATTCCTGCTTAAAGATTCCTGCAGCAAACAAGTTTGGAGAAACTTTTAATGTGGCTGTTTTTAATCTATAAGTTAATGACAACAACTCTGCAAATAGATGTTTATTTGCTGTCATACATGATAAAATTCATAAACAGTAACAGTAGCAAATTATTCACCTAAGTAGCAAAATTCCAGGACAACTGCACAGTCATACACTAGGATTATTATTGTGTTTTCTGAGGAAAAGGAAAGAAGTTTCCCCGGGGAAGAAGTTTGGGTTTTCTGAGGAAGAAGTGTCTTGACATCTCTTCAAGATATCTCCTATTTTTCATTTTCTTGATGCAAGGTAGCGAAAGGGCAAACAACTGGAAAATAAAAGGTGGAAAAGAACAGATGACTCCTGAGATGAGAGCACAGAACCACAGTCATGAGCAAAGTAACTTTTCTCCATGAAGGTAAACCACAGGTCAAAGGTTAGATAATTCTGTTAAAGACCATTGTTGGGAATAAAAAATCCCCCAAAATTAATTTATTTAAATAAAAAATAATGGACTGAAACCTAGAAAAAGATGTGGAGAACTCAATGGAGTGCCAAACAGCTGTGTTTTCATGTTTAATCAACTAAGCTGATGAAATACTGAATATCCTAGGCTGCATCTGAAAATTGCAAAGATTATGTCTTTGGAAATGTCACAAATACTCTCATTTATTGTTTTTCCAGACCAGGGGATGTGTTGAAGTACACTGTGCTCACATTCCTACCCACACCACCTTCTTATCCCTCTGATGACAGCCAGGATATGGTTTGCTGCAAGCCTGGTGTGAGCACACTTCAGATAGAGCTTTGTGTGTATAAGCTAGTGCTGGAACCATAGGAAATAACCTTACTGTTTAAGATTTTACAGTGTTTAATAGATAAACTGTTGAAAATCTGCATGTGGAAAGCAATCAAGATGAAAGTTACCGTGGGACATCAGAGTTCATGATTCAAAGGAAAGAAAGAGATGAAAGAAGCAGAATAATAACACTGGGCTTGAAAAAAGCAAACTTCAACAAATTCAAGGAATTGAATTGAAGTCCTGGGGAAGGAGTTAAAACACAAAGAAAAGTTCAAGAGAACTGAGAGTTTCTAAGAAGAGTTTCTAAGGCTGTATTTTAAGTATAAAAACAGTCTATCCAGATGCAAAGGAAAGAAAACTCAGAGAGCACTGTGGCTGTGTTAGGGGCTCATCAATTACCTGAAAAAATCAAAAAAGAATACTGTGGGGAAAAAAGTAGAAACAAGACAGCTACATTATCAAGAACAAATACAAAAGAACAGCACAGCAGGTTAGGAACAAAACTGGACAGATAAAAAATTCTGTCAGCAAGGGAAAAGCAAAACAATAAAAATGGATTTTTAAATATTTTTCTGTTACACAGTAAGAGTTCTCTGCTTACCAGAAGAGGCAAGTTATCAGATGGTAAAAAAGCCTGGAGTGCTTGATGTTCCACTGCCTCCCCTCTAAACAATGCCTGTCATGATCAAAGTTAACCAGAAATGCAGGTCAGAGGCTACCAAGCTAATTCGATATATCATGACATTAACTTCTGATTAAATCTGTTCTATAGTAATAAGGAGGAAAATTGAAATAATCTTGGAATTACTGTATTTTTGATTGAGGAAGAATAAAAGAACCAGAAAATAATATTACATTTTAAAAATGGGCAAGACCACAGGAATGGGTGGAAAGGCAAGGTAAAGAGAATGACAGAGAATCAGCCAGGAAAACTTTGACACAAGAAGAGTTACTGAAAAAGCTGTCTGAAAAATCTGGAAGCATAAAGGCTAATTTAAAAGGCTGACATGTTTCTGTCCATTAAGTAATTTTTAAATGACTTAACGGTCAAGGTAACTGTCCCAAGAGATAAAATCAGCATGTTGTATGTTGAAGTCAATAAATGCCTTGATAGCAACTCCTCCTGGCCTGATTATATATTTGGTCACTCAGATTCAGATGATGGGCCTCTAAGGTGAATACACAACTGGTTAATACATCATTTCAGAGGGTAATTAACATGCTTGTTGAATTGTGAAAGTGAATGAGTGGGGCTAGGACTATACAGATGTTATGAGTGAAAAGCAGGTGCAGATCCCTCAGGGACAAGGCACAAAATAAGCGAGAGCTTTGGCTTTTTCAAAAGTGTAGTGTTCCCACAGTGGGAATCCTGGACCACAAATGAGATGAGAACCCAAGGCACTGGAGCCACTCAGGAGTGAAGCTGCAGGGAAAGTGTTGTGGGGGTGAGTAAAGAAATCTGGTGCTAATTAACATTTCATACATATGCAATGTCCTATTTTGCTCATTAGCTGCCCCATGTAATGCAGGTGCCGCTGTTTGAATTCCAAGATGTGCAGATGGCCTTCACCTTGGCACCCATGCAGATGGGGGGAAGCAAATTTAATGAGGTAAAATGTGCTTGGTGCTCAACACACCCAGGTGCTGAGAAGAGAACTGTCAGGCACAGTAACAACAAGATGAGACCTCCTTGGGACTCTGCATGCTCTGATAAGAGAGGCAAACTATCCAGGATTACCATGAGGCAGTCTTCTCCCAGCCTACACTGCATGGAACATGTAGGAATGTCTGAATTGTACTGCTGAAATACAAGGTGGGATGGAAAGCACACTTATACAACATACAAGCTTAGAACTCACAAGAATCATAACAATTTAAATTTCAGCTTCAAGTCTTAATGGTTTTGAAGGATAAATATTAAATGAAAAATCACTACGGAGCTTCAGTAGAAATCTCTGGGGCCCATAACAGATCACAAGCTGAATATGAATCCATGTGTACAGTTTGTAAAAAGAAAAGAAGAAGGTGGGGGGAGAAGACCTGAGGTGTACTACAGAGAGCTGCATGTGACAGAAGGTAATTATTTTGCTCTGTTTGGCAATAGAGAAGCATCAGCAGGAATACTTTACCATTTGGGCACTGCAGCTAGGATACATACAGCCAAAACGAAAGAGAGTAGAGGACCATAATAAGTATATGTATAGAATCATAAACTGAGAAAGACTGGAAGAACTGGACTTACATAGACATGATTGGATTGAGCAGACCTGTGAATGTGAAATGTTGCTGTAAAAAATTTTAGTAGCTGTTTAGTAGGTTTGGGGCTTTTTTT